AATAGCCACCTAGAGATCCTCCACTTCCTAGCGGTACATTAATCTTACTCGATCGTACTATTGATCCCATTGCACCCTTTTTGCATGAATTCACGTATCAAGCCATGATGGCTGATTTATTAAAACCAGAGGAAGTGTTGGCAGGTCTCAAATATGAATACGATTATGTGCAGGAAGATGGAACGAGTCATAAACAGGAAGTGACTTTGAACGAACAAGATAACGTGTACACAATGATTCGTCATATGCATATTGCTAGCACGACCGAGAAATTGATTGAAGAGTTTAATCGATTCATAAATGAAAATAAGAAATCCTCTGGCGAAGGGTAATAGTTTATATATATGTATATATATATAAGGCTCGTAGTAACTCCTGGTATTTAGGCAAACGACAGCAGCTACTTTGAATGATATGAAGAATATAATTTCCAATCTTCCTCAGTTCCAGGAAATGAAATCCAAATACTCAGCTCATATGACGATTGCCAGTGATTGTATGAATGAGTTCAAATACCAGAATTTGGAAGTGATTGGTTTAATTGAACAGGTACGCGATATGAACCGCTGAGCTTTTTATAACAGTTTATCCTAGAACATGGCTTGTGGTAAAACTCCTGAAGGGGATGAAGTTGAAAATTTGAAAGAAGATTTAATTTCAATATTGGATGATCCAGAAACAAGGTAAATATATGCCGTGTGGCTGAATTAAGAAATAACACAAGTGTAGTGAGATGGTCAAGACCAGACTTATCCTCTTGTGGATCGCTACCTCAGACACGGTGGATCCAGCCGATCTGGAAGAGCTACTCTCATATGCTCGTCTTAGTCAAGAATATAAAGATGCCATCGAGAACATCTCTTTACTGAACGTACAGCTTTCGAAATCAGCCAATAAACAGGGTCAAAAGACAAAGAAGGGCAAAAAGAAGAAGGATGCTCAGCAGGAGGTTCCTTTTGATCTTTCTCGTTATGTACCTGTTGTCAAGCGTATTGTTGAGGGACATATCGATGGTACGATTGACCAAAGATTGTTTCCGAATAATCTTCGAACGGTCAAGCAGCAAAGCTTACGCAAGAACACGGCAGAAGCAGTGAAGGAAGTACCAAAGCTGAGAGTGTATAAAACCCAGTGGCATAAAAAATCTACAAAAGGAAACGTAAGTGAAATAAGCGATAACAAGGAAACTGAATTGAACTTGTCTGTGTTTAGGCTGCTCCTAAACCTCCTTCAGGCCCTCCCATTATTATCTTTATCGTTGGAGGTATGACGTATTCAGAAATTAGATCAGCCTATGAACTTGCAGAAGCCTTTGACAGAGAAGTGTATATTGGTAAGTTGTTATGACAACGATGGAAAACAGATGAATTGAACGATGAATAGGCTCAACGCATGTTATTACACCTGATAAGTTTGTGAATGATCTGAGTCAATTGGATAAAAAGTTGCCTGCGCCAACAAGTGTCATTCCACCATACACGGGCACTGTTCATAACGCGGTCAGACCTATCAACCAAGATCAAAGACCTCCTCCACGTACTTCCTCTTCTAATCCAAAGGGACACAAGTTGTTAGGAAAGTGGTAAAAAAAGAAGAAAATAAAATATAAAAATAAATACTTGCCTTTATTGTTATTGGAAGTGTTTTTGTGACAATCTTTTGGAAGAGTTTTTTTTTTATTTGAAATTTTTTTATTTTTCCCTTGGTTCTTCTTTTTTTTTTTTTTATCTCATTTTTTTTCGAACTGACGATGACCTTCCTTGCAGCTATTCACCGTATGGCTCCTGCTGCCGTCAAGCAGGTTGCTACTGCTTCCATGAAGCCTACTGCTATTGCTCTTACACAAAAGCGTTTCAAGTCAAGTGGCACTGAGGTATAATTATCGCAAAAATTATAGACCAAAGCATTTATCTTATTATGACAGATGACCGTTCGTGAAGCTTTAAACCAAGCTTTGGAAGAAGAAATGATCAAGGATGAAACAGTATACATTCTCGGTGAAGAAGTTGCTCAATATAATGGTGCTTATAAGGTACTTGCCACTACACATAGTTGTGCGCGTTGTTGGAGAGAGGTGTAGGGGTGTTAATGGGAGAATCTGGGAAAACAGTAAAAAATTTGGGGTAGATTCGGGCTTAATGTGGTGTATATGGGTGACGAAGAGGAGGAGTTTTAATTAGAAAACTTTTATACTGAACAATATAGGTCACCAAAGGCTTGCTGGATAAGTTTGGTCCTAAACGTGTGATTGATACCCCCATTACCGAAATGGGTTTCGCTGGTCTTGCTGTCGGTTCTGCTTTCAGCGGTTTGAAGCCCGTTTGTGAGTTCATGACTTTCAACTTTGCTATGCAGGTAAATTTGTGTAAATAGGATTCAAGAAACCAAAACTTAGTATATTATAGGCTATTGATCAAATCGTCAACTCTGCTGCAAAGACCTTCTACATGTCTGGTGGTATCGTCAAGTGCCCCATTGTTTTCCGTGGACCTAACGGCGCTGCTGCTGGTGTCGGTGCTCAACACTCTCAAGACTTTGCTGCTTGGTACGGTTCCGTCCCTGGTCTCAAGGTCGTCTCTCCTTGGAACTCTGAAGATGCAAAGGGTTTGTTGAAGGCCGCCATTCGTGATCCTAACCCTGTCGTCGTTCTCGAAAACGAACTCGAATATGGTATCTCTTACCCCATGTCCGCCGAAGCTCTCTCTGAGGACTTTGTTCTTCCTATTGGTAAGGCCAAGGTTGAACGTGAAGGTAAAGATATCACCCTTGTCTCCCACTCTCGTTCTGTCGGCTTCTGTATGAAGGCCGCTGAACTCTTGGCCAAGGACGGTATTTCTGCTGAAGTCATCAACTTGAGATCTATCAAGCCTCTCGATACTGAAACAATCTTCAAATCTATCAAAAAGACCAACCACATCGTTTCTGTCGAACAAGGTTGGGCCTCTTTTGGTGTTGGTTCCGAAATTTGTGCTCAAGTTATGGAAAGTAAGTATTGACATTAAAAAGAGAATTACGTGCGTGTGTGCTGATGTTTGAATATAATAGACGAAGCATTCTGGCACTTGGATGCTCCCATGACTCGTGTCACTGGTGCCGATGTCCCTACACCCTATGCCGCCAACCTTGAAGCTCTTGCTTTCCCCGATGAACACGTCATTGTCAAGGCTGTTAGAGATAACTTGGACAAGAAAGTTGGTTTCTAAATTTATTTAATTACTCAATAATACACTCTTTGTAAAACAACACCATGGTTAGTGAAAGTTGATAAATGGGGAGATGAACTGCATTTTCCGGAATTGGATCCCACAGGAAATCTTTGTTGAGAAAGAGAAAGGAGTATTGGGATTCTTTTGTTTTTTGTTTTTGTCATTTGTATCCTTTCATATATAAGTATTTTCCCGTGAATCAGAACATTATGCAGATGATATGCTCATATTGGAGAACGTACACTACAAGATTTATGATATGTATTCAATATTGCTTACTATGTGAATATGTCTTATCAGTTAAATGGCTCGGGAAGGCACTCTGTAACATAATATATTTTCTTTTAAAATTATACCCCTTTCTCTTATTCCTCAGTGTGACATTATTTGTAATACCCTGAGCTCAGTCTTTTCTTCAAACATATCCTAATTGTATCATTAAATACTTTATTTTCAAACACAAAGCACATATAAACGATAGTCTAGAAGCATCACCACCCATCTGCAAAACTACGCGGATAGACGGGTGCCATAATAGTGGAATAAGGTCTACAGTGACTTCGATAAACTACAGATCTCATTTACAAAAAAGTTCTGATCTCATGACAATTAGATATGCGACAGGGACAGCAAGGGTCAGTCTCCTACAATTTATGATTGATAAACTGTGATTTCGTGGCAAGTGTGAGTGCTGTATTTATCCTATAAATACTTAATAGTACGAGTTTACTGTAGGCCTATACTCTAATAAGCAATACAGAGACTGATCCCAAAGCACGTTAGCATATAACGCGACATGCCCAATTCTCATTGATCAAGTAATACTCTTGTTTTCATACAAAATGACGATACTTTAATAACGATCTTTGTTTTTTTCTATACAGAGGCTCATCGGCATGTACCTTTGTTCTTTGTTATTCGTCTGTATCACATCGACGAAGTATTTGTTAGACCTTGCTGTCTAATCAGCCAGCCTATCCAAGAACAAATGAAGCTTTAGTATTACTACAAGCTTGTCAGGGTGATACCACTCGATAAGTATCAATAAGATCACATTGTTTTTGCTGATAGAACTTTATAGATCTCACATCACGAATTCACTTACACAAAAGGGAATATACCATATCATTATTGACCATGCAGAGTTGGATCATGTACAAGCATCTGAAGTAAAGATGAAGAGATTCAATACATATATACTGATTGATTACTATTAGGACATACGTTATGATACAAGAAATTACAGTTGATCATGAATCACCCTTTGAAGTTCTGTCTCGCCATCAATTGCACAGAAAAATGCGTACAGCGATCTCAAACTCAGAAAAAAAAAATGTCATTGGCTGTGTACTTGAGGATCTTTGCTGTATCTAGGCAGGATGCTACATGATACGGGATCTTTTTTATGTGAGGACAACTCTTATGCATGTTCATTTCACAACAGCGGTTTTTTTTTCTGATCATTCACAAAACGCTTCACATTAACAAAAATTGATTATGAAACGATCTCTTAGCCTTGGTCAATGTCTTTTCGAAGCTGATGAATGGTTTTCGAAAAGAGTGCAAACTGCAGTTGGAAAAAAAAAAAAAAAAAGAGACGCTTCAAATCACTGTCCAAAAGCAGTTTTCTGTCCTTAAAAAATAGTATCACCTCTTTTATTTAATTGGGTTAATAAAGGGAGGGAACAACAGGGTCTCTTTATACATTGCTAATGGGTTGAGTCATGGTTGGTTGATTAGGTTGTTTCTGAAAGTCAGAACCATATAGTTTTTGTAATAAGACAGGCTTTAGTTCTTGTAGTTGAGCTGGCGTGAGGTTATTTAGTTGGTTTTGCTGTTGAGCAAGTTCTACTTGCTTCTGTTCGTATATTTTTGTTTTCATTTTGATCCTCTTTAACCAGATAACATAAGTAGCCAAGACAATAACAGCTGCTATGAGTGAAAAGATGACAATGAATAATGTTTGATTTGTATTTGGCATAAAACAATGAAAGTGTAGAGTAACCTTGTTTAAATTGATGTTGCAGCTTCTAATTATCAATAATGCCACAACAAATCAGATGCCGCATTCCCTGTTTGTATTGTCGTACAACCAAAATAATATTGTTAAAGGAGGGAACTCATTAAGCGAACGATTCATTATCTCTCGACAGACCCATTGGTATACAATTTAACTCTGTATGTTATTGAAATACATCACTTGATTTAGATTTATAATCTGTGCAAAGGTATAGTATATCTTGTAAGAAAGTCTTGTTCTCATCTGTCACTATGGGATCATTGTCTTAGGGAGACGTATTGTTACCATGCTGTATATCAATGGTACAAAGACCAACCTGCAGGAAATTTTGGTCCAGAAACGCCTTGGTACTCAGAAAACCCTGACAGCTGATAGTTGATACTAAATGTGGCGGCATCAGCACTAGGCTATTATCTTGTATCAAGCCGTATATATGATGCTACCGATACAATGAATACTTAAACAAACTAGGCAGAGGCATGTAAAGCCAAATAGTGCTGTCGAACAAAGCTGTTTAGGGGCTAGGCAAATTCATAAGGTCTACTGTCACTTATGAGCCTCGTTCTGCAAGTAGAATGCAAAGAGAATCTACCAAGAAGCTGTTACTCATATAAGAAGAGGATATAGGGCAACCAAGACTTGTTATCATACCATTAATATCTAGAATTAACCGTTGCCTTTTTATACTATTTTCTCTCCTTTTCTCCGCCCAGGTAACCGTTTTCTTTAGCTATTTTTTTTAACCTACGCCATAATGTAATAAAGATTCAGTAGACGTCGATAGCTTCTATTCATCATGCTCCTTTCTTATATTGGTAATCATTGTCACCTGTGATATCAGGGCCCGCGTATTATTTCTTTTATTGGGAAATTACCTAAACAGCAGCTGATCTAGCGTAGAATGACTCGAAATGATTAGATATCGAGAAATTATGTATGCATCTAACATGGCAAGAAAAAACCGATATATGTCCGTACTTGGAAAAATTAACGACCTTGGTAAATAAAGCAGCACTTTTGATGGCAGGAATAATATGAACGCAGTAATGGTTAAAGTAAGCCCGTTCTTCAGGTTTCTATTGGCTTATTTTTCCGTCTGATAAAAACACGAGCATGGGCCCTTCCTATTTTGTTACTTTTTCTTTTTCTTTCTTTGAACAAAAATTATGCATGCCTTCCTCCTTCAAAGTGTCAGAAGGCAAAAGGTAATAAATCAGTCCTTTTCAAAATATACCTCTTGCTGTCATGTCAAAAAGGCACCCGAGCCAAAGATGACCAGCCTTTCGTTTTGGCAGGATCCACTTGTTTGGCAACGTACAAGGGTGAACACGTTAAGGTACAATAAATGACTATTGTTTTTTCCTTTAAAGAGGTCTAAGAGAGAGAGACGAATAGATGCTTGATCGGTTGTACAACAGGGGATTTTGCTACAATGTGGTATCTACAGATGCATCATCCTACACTATCACCGGCTATAACGACAGCCGCATCAATGGTATGTGCATCTGTAAGATATGAATCGGTCTAATTATCGTAGATAGCGGGTATATCCACCTCTTTAGCCTTAGAAACTGTTTTACTACAGCGTACGATGAAAGTGCCTTATCCAGCGGCATTCAAAACGGCAATGGGCATGAGCTTTGTTTCTATGCTTGCTATGGAACTGACAGAGAATGTGGTTGATTGGCACCTGATGGGTGGCCAAGTTGTATTGAATGATCCCAAGTTTTGGATGGCAGCTGCTGTAAGTGCAGCAGCAGGATATGTTGTTCCATTACCTTACAACTATTGGAGACTAAAGGCACTTGGTAAATCATGTCATTAATAAAGATGAGAATATGTGTAGGTTTTATTTACTATAATACATGAATATGATATACAAATACATAAATATGAAAAAGAAGGAGGGGGGGGGGGGGGGGGGTATACGATGGATAACTTAATGTTGATATAATTGATGATGATTTGCAAGGTTACCAAGAGAATGGAATTTCCTATGACAGGTCTTGCATCGAACAACCGATGATCTACAACGGTTTATGGCTTGTTGTGTATAAGTAGACTGTACAGTAGCTAATGTCATTAAATTCTCTTGAGCTTCATCTAATGGCCAATCGTTATATTTGATGTTATTAGAAGGAATTGATGCCAGCATTTAGATTTTTATAAAAAAGTAAATAATAAAAAGGAGAAGGAACACTTTGTTCTTTTTATACTTTTTCCAAGAAAAAATGTTGTAATGTTTGTGTAATTGGGGCAACATGAAGAAAGGTGGGAAGAATTTCACCTAAAAAAGTAACTCTTACAGAACATGAGTGAGGGAGCCATTTTGAGCCATTTTTTATTATCATTTCTTTTCTTTTATGCTTTAAAAAGCCCTATATTGTCCTTTATTTTACTATTTTAACTTGATTTATGAGCTCTGTTCGGAAAAAGCCTCATAGCTTAATTTTTTTGATTGCATGAAAAAATAAAGTTCACACATCTTCCCGTTGGAAACCTTACGGGTGGAATTAAGGGCGCAGAAATTGTTTCATCTGCCTAACAATTCAATCTCAGCATGTGACGTATTTTTTGAGATGAGTATGTGCTCATTACGTCTGGATAGGATTAATAGAAAAATCTTTTTTTCCGTAAAGTTTATCAAACATACAAATGGGTGCTTTAGTAAGTTGAGTCAATGCCTCTAATAAAGATACTGACTTTTAACTCGTTTATAGAAAATTACTGTCAAGACACTTCAACAAAAGCAATTTAAACTCGAAGTAGATAGCACTGACTCTGTAAGATTGAATCCTTCGTTTGATCTTTTGTATCCTTATCTTTTTTTTTTATAAAGATCCTCTCCGTCAAGGAAAAGATTGAACAATCTCAAGGACATCCTGTTGCTCAACAAAAACTTATCTTTTCTGGTAAGTTTGTAACCCACTTCACACGCGTGTATACGTGTGTGTGTGTGTGTGCATATGTAATTAATTGTATTTGTGGTAGGTAAAATTCTTTCCGATGATAAAACGGTCGAAGAATACAACATTACAGAAAAGGACTTCTTGGTTGTAATGGTCTCAAAGGTGAGCATATAACCTGATGAATGTTTTTTAAGCTTATGCTTTATCTTTAGCCAAAAGCAACACCAGCTTCCAGTAGTTCTGCCGCTAAAAAAGAATCAACACCTGCAGCAACAACACCATCAAAGCCAGCTGAACCTGTCAAGTCTGAATCTCCTGCCGCAGCACCTGCCAGTAGCAACAGCCCAGCACCTGTTTCTGACACTCCCAAAGAGGCAGAAAAGGTTACTACGGACAGTTATTCTCAATTAGGCAAGTATATATTTCTGTAATATTTTCCGTATATTAATCGGTTAATGCAGTCACTGGCTCTCAATTGGAAAGTGTACTTGAGAATATGATGGCCATGGGTTTTGAACGTGCTCAATGTGAACGTGCGCTTCGTGCCAGTTTTAACAATCCTGACAGAGCTGTGGAATATCTGTTCAATGTAAGCTCATTCATGGCTTCTAATGATTGTATCTAATATCTTTTTAGGGTATTCCTGAAAATATATTGAATGAAATGAATGCTGCACAACAACCACAGTCAGATGAGCAACAACAAGATACCAACACACCTATATCTCCTGGCACAACCACAGCTCCTACTAATGATGCTAGTAAGTGTGTATATAATATATATAATGAACTTCAACTCACATACTTTAGATGCACCATTGAATCTTTTTGCTGCTGCTCAACAACACGCTCAGCAACAACAGCAACAACAACAACAACAGCAACCATTAGGTGCAGATCTTGCCAGCTTTAGAAACACACCTCACTTCCATCAAATTCGTCAATTAGTTCAAACAAATCCTGGCTTGCTTCAACCTTTGCTTCAATCAATAGGTCAATCCAATCCAGAATTGATTCGAGCTATTAATGCTGATCCTAATGGATTCCTGCAAGCATTCTTGGAAGGAGCTGAAGGAGAAGAAGGTGGACCAGAAACGGCAACAATCCAAGTGACTGCTGAAGAAAGAGAAGCAATTGAAAGAGTAAAATAGGAATATTACTTTAAAGATATTACTGTCTAACTTCATTTATTATAGCTGGAAGCATTGGGTTTCCCAAGACAAGTTGTCATAGAAGCTTATTTCGCATGCGATAAGAATGAAGGTAAAAACAAAGAAAAACACATAGTTTGCTTTTATTTATTTTTATATAGAATTGGCTGCAAATTATCTCTTTGATCATGGAAATGATGATTTTGAATAAAAAAACAAAAAAATTACTTTTTTAGTAAAACAATAAACTTTTTCATTTCCTTTTGCGCCCCTTTATCATGCATGCCTTTTATTCTCATTTATTGAATCACCGACAAAAATGACAAATCAGTCACAGCCAAAAAGTTTTTTAAATGATGAATTCCCTGCCCTAAGCCTTTTCTCAGGACTTTTTATTTATTCATAGAGAAAGGAACTCTTTGTTATGGATCAGCAAGCAGGTAATAATAGAATGCATCTCATCATTTCTCTTGTCTAATTACCAACTCTAGTTGAAATCAAGAACAAGAAAGTGACAGCACCCACTCCACAAAACACACCTATAAACGCAGCTCCCATAAGCTCACAATCTATTCCTACGGTTCCTTCCATCTCTGAAGAGATAGAAACTATTAGTACACCAGGTATAAGAACAATAGATAAAAAATTTGTTGTCAAGTGACTGACAAAGAATTCATTAGGTGTTGCTGGTCAAAATAACTCAGGTCTGATGAGCATGCTTCAAGGCAGATTAGGTAATCTCATCAGTGAACCACTTCCTGCTTCTGTTCAACGTCGTATCAATGGCTTAAAATTTCTTCAATCCAAACATGCTGAATTGGAAGGAGAATTTCAAAAGGAAGTCTTGGCTTTAGAAAAGAAATATCTAGAGTTATACCGTCCATTATACACCAAGCGTGCTGAAGTGATCACTGGTAAATACGAACCTACAGAAGAAGAAGTAGCTCTTGGAGCCAAAGTAGATGAAGAAGAAGATCAGAGCGATTTGGAGGATGATAAGGAAAACGATGTAACAGAGAGCACAGATGATAATGTGTCGGGTATTCCCGAGTTCTGGTTGACAGCCTTAAAGACCCACCCACAAATTGGTGAAACAATCACAGATGAAGACTGTAATGTCTTGAAGCACCTTGTTGATATTCGTTTAAGCTATCTCGAGAAGCCTGGTTTCCAAATAGAATTCGAGTTTACTGAAAACGATTACTTCACCAACAAAGTGCTTACCAAGACTTACTATTATCAAGACAATGTGAGCGGTGGTGATTACGTTTATGACCATGCTGAAGGATGTGACATCAACTGGAAAGAAGGCAAGGACTTGACTGTCACTATTGAAACAAAGAAGCAGCGTCACAAGGGCACCAACAAGACTCGTGTCGTCAAGCGCACAGTTCCTGCTGAATCATTCTTCAACTTCTTCAATCCTCCTGTTCTTCCAGACGACTCTGAAGAATTGGATGAAGATGAGGCTGAAGGTTTAGATGCCAAGTTGGAAGCTGATTATGAAATGGGTGAAGAATTCAAGGAAAAGATTATTCCTCACGCTGTTGATTATTTCACAGGAAAGGCACTTGAATACGAAGATTATGATGATGAAGATGATTTTGATGAGGTATATTTATATTTACAAAAATGAGGATTCAAACTCACGTTGAAATAGGATGATTTCCTTAGTGATGATGATATTGATGATGATGAAGATGATGACGATGACGATGATGATGACGATACTGTAAGCTTAAATCATCTTTTATAAAGAAACGTTACTAAACATTCATAATAGAAGCCTGCTAAAACTGAAAATGCTCCTGAATGCAAGCAATCTTAAACTGTATACATTATATTTTTCAAAATTAAAATCACTCCATCAGCTCTAACGTCTCTTTTCATACAAGGAGGGGAACTGTTCTCATATTTCCTTATTTTAAGAAAGAAATGCCCTTTGAACCTATTTTAACCGTAGCCAAGATTGATTGGTTCTTGGTGCACGTGACTCTCCTATATGCTCTGTCTCTTATTTTTCTATTTTCTTCTTTATTTCTTTTTTTTTTTTTTTTCCTTTCAATAAGATGACCCAAGCAATTATCTCTTTACTTTCGAATAATGCTACATTATGTCTGCCGATAGAGTCAAGCACTTACACAGTATGTGATTTAAAGCAGGAGATATTCTCCAAAACACACATTCCTGTAGATCAACAAATACTACGAACGATTGGAGGACTTGATATTGATGATCAACAGCCACTAGAATCAGATAAACATATTCTTCATTTCAACTTGTCAGCTCGTTTATTAGGTGGTAAAGGAGGCTTTGGATCTATGCTCCGTGCACAGGGCGGTCGAATGAATGCTCAAAAGACAACTAATTTCGAAGCATGCAGAGACTTGCAAGGACGAAGAATTCGAAGCGTGAATGAAGCTAAAAGGTAAATTTAGCAAAACACAAATATGTAGTAGTAGTTAACTAATCTACTTGCAGATTGCAAGAAGAATTGGATGCTCTTCCCAAACGAGAAGCTGAAAAAAGAGAAAGATTGAAGCGAAAGATAGAAGAAGCATTGAAAGAAAGAGAACCAAGAAAACATTTGTTTGATGATAATGAATTTTTAGAAAGCAAGGAAGAAGTAGTTGAAGGAGTAAAGTCAGCTATAGGACAAGCACTAAAGAAACAAAAGACTTCACATAATGGCAACCATAAGCCAGTAGCCTCAACATCTCAATGTCTGTTTAATGATGATATCTCTGATGAGGATGAGGATGAGGATGAGGAAGAAGAGGAAGAGGAAGAAGAAGAGGAAGAGAAGGAGAAACAGGAAGAAGAAGAAGAGGAAAAGAAAGTAGAAAAAGAGGAAATAAAAGTAGAAGAAAAGAAAGGCGAGAAAAAGGCTAAAGCTAATAACCGCCAAAAGAAAGGAAAAGGAAAAAGCAAACAATAGTCATAATCATTTACATATGGGTGATACGAACATGATGAGGCGAGATTACGTAACATAGTAACAAATGATCCATAATCAATAAAATACTTATACCATATGTAATTGTTTACAAAGGCTTGATAGCCTAGCTGAGACTGCACCTATACAATAATGGGAAGATGAACTCTCTTGTAAAAGCATCTCTAGCTAAAATTATTTTCCTTCGGCAACAAAAGCCAAAAACTTAACCCCTTTGTGACAATCTCTTTGTGAGAAGAAAAGAGCTCCGGTTTATTAAACACAAGAATGATGTATGAGATCATGTAGTGGATTGTACTACTTTAGAGAGTAGGCACTAATGACACTATCTATACTCCATTTTCTTAATAGGAACATATTGTTGTAATTGCTTGTTTAGCGCTATGGTCTTGATTAAGTAAAAAGAGCAAAAGTCAAGACTTTATGACGCTCAGATCTCTCGTTCAATTGTCATGTGCAATTATAACAATAATCCCATAAATGAACATTACAGTATATTTTGGGGACAGGTACAGGCTATGATAAGCTCTATGAGTACTCTTTGGGTGGATTGTAAAAAGGTGTGTCACATCATTGGCGCCTGGGAGCTAGCTTGCAATAGTTGGTTGTGTTCAACTGGGTACTCAGTGCTGTCTCCCGATGACCGTCGATCAAACTCTTGTACTTTCTGATTATCAAAGTATTTCAATCCCAATCGAACATCAGCGATACTAACAAAACCAAGCCTTTTCTGAAGCCCCACAGCGATGATAGCGTCTCTGGAAAGCAAACTCTGCTTTGAGTCATATAGTAGTCGAAGATCTACTTTAAATCCAACCCACATTTCGCTGTATCAGTAGCTTGACCATTTCAATAGATTTATGCCTTTGTTGGTGTAAACTCGTATCCAGTTTTACATCTGTAAAAGACGAATAAGTCGATAACCATCACAGTAGCTGTTTATTGATAGAACAGTAATAATATACATGTGATTTTTATTGGAGAATTAATACTGTCAGTGTGATTATTTATGCTTGTCTTATGACTATTATTTTAATGGCTACTATAGTTACTGTTAGTATACGTTATTCTTATCAGATGCAATAGAAGAAAGTAGAATGCATGCTCTACTGCAAGTTTATACTCGAGTTAGTATAATGATTCATATCAAACACGTCATTCGTTATCCCCCAAACTTACCCCAAATTGATGACGAAGGCATTGTACGACGTTTTCAAATCTTTTATGGTCACCAAGTATGCCTAATCTCAATAGCTTTTATTTTATAATCGTTATTTGCTCCAAAGATTTCTTTACTTCTTTTCAGGATAATAGAATATGCACAATGAGACTTATTTTCTTTATTATATAAAAAAGGGGCTCTTTCAAATCAATATGTATTGATCGTCTTCTTCCTAAAAGATTATCCTAAACAATGTTCCCATCATTAAGAATCCTGGAATATGGGGTAATGTCCTATTCCTTTTACGGCGTATTATAATTGATTTATTTACAAATATGTATATTTTGTAGATGGTATTTTTGAAATTCAGCAAATGATATGTATTTATGTACAAGAAAGAAAGTTATTTATTTACACACATATTATTAATAGTAATCATTATGGTAGTGATTATCGAGACGATTGGGTGGTTCATCTAAGGGTAATCCAGCTATCTTCGACTGTAGTCGAACTAGTTTGGGTGTCATTGAGGATCTTAATTCTTCACGTGTAACAGGATCCGATATATGTTCAAGCAGCTGCATAAAATTACTGATGCAGTTATCTAAGGCTTCTCGCGCAGCAAGGATATCGCCAGAGTAATAAAAAGAGCCAATAGAATCTTCAGCATAACTAAGCTGTTGCCATGGAGATGAGTATTGACTGCGCTCATTATTATAAATTATTTTTATTCTTACCTCATCTTGGGCTAAAGTGTATAATGAATGTAACTTTTCTAATTCTTTTGAATAATCAAATGGTTCTGACATAGACATTTCTTCTACTGGTGATATATTCAATGAACCTCTACCGCGAAAGAATGGCAATGCATGCCGAAATCTATCTATGACACTTGCTGTTGAATCATATGTGCCCACCGATGTGGCATCACTATATTTTCTTACAGAAGGATGCTCTGTTGTATGTGTTGTATCTTGACTGTGCTTTCGTTTGCATCGCTCTATGTTTGTGAACTTGTTTAGGATTGTGTATATCTTTGATTTAAATGCTGTTCCTGGCATATGTATAGCCATGATGATTGAATTGATAAATAAATATAGAATAAAAAAATATACAAAGAAAAGAAAGGAATAAAAAAGGAATATAAATAATCTAATTATATAAATAATAAAACAATCGGAATAAATCTAAAAAGTCAATTATATCGGAATCTATTGTGTCACTTTGTACAGAGCCAAATTTTTATGCGCATGAAAAAGCAGATGGCAATGCATTATAAACTCCCTTGCCAAGTCCAAGTCACGATTCCTGTTAAATATTATACATGCCTACGCCACTTGATAAAATAGGTCAAGAGCCTTTTATTATTAAGGGCTTAGTAAGCGATATAAAGTATATGTTTCATTGTATGCGACTGCGCCTACAAACAATAAAGAAGTTTAAGGGTGCCATATGTGGGGGGATGGGGGGAGATCAAAATAAAGGTTACATCTTCATGTGTATCAACGCGTTAATGTATTCCAGTCTTGCCCAATTTGTTTTGATGTTTTATGTACAAGCAAAACCAATCGAAGCGATCATGGGTTTCTTAGTTAACACAACAGAATAATAATAAAACCTTGAAGATCTTGAGATAACAAGCTGCGGCTACTACGTCACAACCGTTGCTATGTAAACTGCGAAACAGAAAGTGTAATACTCATTATGATGCGAAATTAGAAACAAAGGATTCACGTATCTTTGTGAGACAATAATGAACGCATTATCACTCATTAGTACTAGAATACTTGGGGCTAATCTTGTTGGAAATATTAGATTATCATCAAAAAGTATGGTTTATATAGATACAATAAAAAGTATAGAACCTAAGGTAACTATTACGTAAGTCAACTTTATCTTAACACCAGTCGCAATGGAAATAGACGAAGGTGTTGTCTTGATCTGATTCGCATTATTATTATCGCATGACGTACGAGGCTTAAGCGTCTTTACACTTTCATCTGTTGTATAATTCGTATTGGTCAATACAGTCGAGTATTTCAAAGAATCGAGCATACGAAGGATCCCAGGTCCTATAGGTGATCTATAGATCTTCTCGACGACCGTGTTATTGCTCATTGTCGTATTGTACCGTATCTCTGGTATCTCGTTGTAATACTCTGTCACCAAGCTCTCTAAAGTTCTGCCTGGGTGGTATACTCGCGTCATCAAAAAATCCACAGTGTCCGCGTACTTATCATCTAAATGAGCAATCTTCAAACCGGGCCTGTTCACTGATGGATCCACTGTTTCATGCACAAGTTCGGCAAACATGTCTTGACCTGTGAGTAATGTCATACTTTGATACGTTCGATTGAGGTAATCTACACGATTGAAACTACTGTTGGCAACGGGAGGTGGCCGAAACTGAAAACGTAATGTCTCTGGCTGAGAGAGTGACACCCATAATTTATGTGCGGCCACTGATTGATTGGCGGTACTGAAAATTTGGACAAAGTTGAAGATGAATGCATCTTCTGTATTGTTTACACAAAAGTTTTTCTGCATATCAGCCGCAAGTTCTGACAGACGGAAGGAGCTTCTTGTCGTGTTAAAACTGTCATCAATCACGGTCAAGTGTTTGTCAAAGATCATCGTTGGTTGAAACCCGCTGAGGTAAGCTGGTCCAGCGTCTCCATCCACAAACCAGTATGGACTAGGCGTCACAAGTTCAACTTTGAGTGGGTCTATGATACCGTCGATCAGCATTCTAAATGGTGACATCTTTGTCCAAAAATACGCTGCCCATGAGCTTAGGATGCCAAGGCCATGAAGTAGTTCATGTAAAAAGATGGCGCGAAAGTCTACTTGATAATCTAAAATATCTGTGTCATTCTATTCAAGTTATTCAATGATTTTTATCCTACTTCTTTTTTGAGAATATTTACTGAAAACCAAAATTTTCCATTAGGTGGTGTTGATGTGCCATTCCATCCGTTACGGATAGCGTGCTCTGTATTTACCGAGTTCATGTATACGTCGTGGTTGATGGCAATCTCAAGATCGTAATTTGACCATAGCGAATGGCTACTGTATGGTGCTAGCTGCTTGGCTAGTGCTTGGGGGTATACATAGCTTAAATCATCGTCCTCATCAAATGGGAGTGTAAACTACAGGTACATACGTTATGGTCAATCATCGTTTGTTATCTTCGTTTTTTGATCAGCATACCTGTGAGGTGGGCACGCCCCACCCGTATGTGCTATTAGAGCATGATATTTCGCAAAAGCTGTAATATGATATTTTAAGCCTAACATGTGTAACATTAGTTACCAAAGATGAAGAATGTCCACTACAAATGGATTTACAATAAAGCGACCTTGATATTCACCACTTGTGTGAATTCATTGATAGCCGCATTAATTGAGTTACTAATTTTGCTGCAGAAGGCCTCATCTGCTTTACAATTAAAATGATATTGTACAAGTTGATCAGATGTGTTAGAATATTGATGCATAGTATCGTTCAAGGTATCGTCTTTTCTATCAGATGAAGTTGGTAAGGCACTGTATGAGGAGGTTGGAGTGGTTGTATTAAGGTATGTTACAAGCGTGCTACTGGGATACCACGTACTGGATGTATTTACAACGTTTTCAGTCGTATCAGGGTTTGTCTTTCTCTTTTTTAATTGCCTTTGATTCTCTGTTGTACTTGTATTTGTCATAGCTTCTTGAGAACTAGCATAACCTATCAAGTCAGGGTCTGTAGCTATAAAGGCTGAATCATCACACCAATAAGGCTCCACATGTACTGTAAGAATTAGTATGATGAGTAGTGATTTAATCCAGCCAGCTGAATTCATACAAAATAGAAAAGAAAAAGGAAAGCTATTAAAAGAGTGTGGGGTACAGCTTGTCGTGCTAAAAAAGCAGACCATTTTAAAACAATTGAGATCTGAGATTAAATGTTTGACTTTATGATTTCATTTGTCTCAGATCTCATTTTGTCAATTGTATTATTCAAAAAGGAGAGGGTACAAGAGAGAGAAAAAAAATGTTTTCAAGGATCAACACTTGGAAAGGATCCTGTCACCAAATACCAAGGCTCTATAGCACACCAACTCATAGGTTCTTTCAGACAACCAGACTGAGGCTTACTGAAGGCCTACAAAATGTAACAACTATTGTTTTCATAACCTAGTTTGTTTCCTAATCACCACCTACTAGTCACCTGTTTCAAATATAACAACTCCCAATAGAGGTGTAACCGAGCAAACGGCACAACTTTATTTGGACAATGTATTTCCATTACGAATGAGTGTCTGGGATATAAGACAGCTTGTATTCAGAAATTCAAAAGCACTTTTGGAGTCAAAAGTACATCAAGCGATACCTTCCCCTGATCTACCCCATGACTTTGCCATAAAAGAAATCATTGCTCGGTAACACGCTTTATAAATTACTATACAGAGAGTAACAACGCCCTTCTTTAGCACAAAGGACGGCGGGGCCATCGTAAAGTTTACTTTCAGAAGCACAGACGCAACCAAAACAGAGAAAGCAAAGGATATTGTGGAAAGGATACAAGAGTATATTCAACAATCAAATATCGTTGCTCCTTTCAACTTACAACAGGTGAGAGCCTTTTTAGTCAAGGGACAACCCTTCTTGGAAGACATATTGGCTAGATATCCAACACCTCGACTTCGTATCGAGTTTCAAGGTGAACCTACCAATGTGGAGGTGCTCTATGCTCATTTGAGACCCTATGGAAGAATATTTGATATCTCGCTTTATCCTAATCCTAATATAGGAAAAGATCCTGCACGATATGCTATTGTCCAATTTACTCGCATACGATATGCAGCAAGTGCTCGCAATTGCTTACATGGACATGTGATTGATAATACCCGATTAAACATTTTGTATGAAAAACAAATGGTAAGATAGGGACACCAACTTGCAAAGAAATGAAACTTATTGTTAATAGCGTACGAATGTAGTCAAGGACTGGCTGGTCAACCATCCTCGTATTACTGTACCTGTGATCGCTGCTGTCTTCGCAGGTGTCACTTATGCAGTATTTGATCCCATTCGTATCTTCTTTGTTACCTCCAAAGTTACTCAACGATTTAATCCTCAAGAATATGCACTCTATCGCTGGTTGCGTAAGGAAACATGGGCTCGACTTATTCCCGGGGACGATCGACAGCCACTACCTGAAGGTTCAGCATGGGCTGATGACTTTGAGCAGACTGAAAAATTAAAATCTTGGCTTGCTGAGAGGCCAGGTAAAGAAAATATAGAGAGATATGAGAATCTCTTAATTTATAGGGTTCATGTAGAGACATTTATCTTGATCACTGGGCATAAAGGAAGCGGAAAATCTGCTCTTGTCAAGGCAGCCATTCATGAAAAGAAGTAAGGAGCTACGATTATAAAAGAGATATACTGAAAAGCTGGTCATAGGCACAAGCTATTTATTGATTGTGAAAGGATTGCCAATGCAAGAAATCAATCAGAAATGACAAAAAACCTGGCCAAGGAAGTTGGCTACTTCCCAGTGTTCACTTGGGTATCCTCTATGAGCGGATTGATGGACACGGTCGTAGCAGCTACAACAGGTCAAAAAGCCAATCTTGCATCCTCACCTGATTCTCAAATGAAGAATATTTTGGAAACGGTTGCTATTGCTTTACGTGATACCATACCAAGTGAAAAAGAAGCACGCGAACTTGCTGAAGATGAAAAAGACACAACTAATTTGCTTCAAAAGTTCAAGGATTTTATCATAGGTCATAAAATAACTGTTCCAAAGCAGACCGAAAAGCCATCTGAAGAGAAAGAAGATGAAAAGCCAGGAGAAGAGGACAAACTGGACCAGCACAGCATTCCTATCGTTGTCATTGATAATTTCATGTACCGTGAAACGTCTAAATCAGCCATCCTATGGGAAGAATTGGCAGAGTGGGCAGCTCTTTTGATCGAGAACGGTATTGCCCACGTTGTCTTTGTGAGTTCGAATGCAAGTGTCATGAAAACCTTGGGCAAAGGTAAATAACTACTTTAATTGACATGTGTATGGTATTCATTTCTCTGTTAGCTCTTCCTGGAAAAACGTTCTCGAGCATCACTCTCTCTGATGCCCCACCTGAAATGGCCATGTCGTTTATTAAGAAGCAGCTAGGTGAAGAGGTCAATGACCCCAACCTTCCTGAAATTGTATCAGCCTTGGGTGGACGTCTTACAGAATTAGAAGTCCTTGTTCAAAAGATGAAGATGAATATGGATGCATTATGTAAGTTTTTAAAGAAACTAACCACAAAATGTGTTTCCTCACCTCGTTATACAGCTGCCTTTGAGGATATCGTCACACGTAATTTGATTGAAATTCGAAAGTATGGATTTGGTGATTCATCGAACGAAGATAACAAGTTTGAATGGTCATCGATTCAATTCTGGACCATCGTTAAACTCCTGTCTGAAAAACACAGCGTAAATTCATAGAACATTTTTTTGAGCTTGTAACAACTAACAAACTTTGTATAGATCAATTATGATGAATTAAAATGGGATAGCTTGTTTAATGGAAATGATGCTCCCCTGAGAGCTATGGAAAGGGCAGAATTAATTACCGTCGTGCATAAAGATGGTAAATCAAAATATGGAAAAATTATCAAGCTAACCAACTGAAACATAGGCCGACCAAACTCAATCAAACCTGGTAAACCTATTCATTATACAGTCTTTAAGCGTCTTGTATCAGATAAAGTGTTTGCTTCTTCCATGGAGATTGAAACAAATATGTATTTGAAGAAACAAGCTGAAGAAAACATGGCGAAATTGGAAGATACAACTGAAAAATTATCAAATATCAGTCAACCCAATCGACCACCTCGAGAAGTGGATGCTCGTATTCGATATCTGTTAACCAAGTTGACATCTGTTCAGAAATCAATTGAGCAATATGATGCAGCTATTAAGAGTGCAAAAGAAGCTGTTTCTAAAAGTTGGGTAGAAGATGAAAATTAGAAAAAACAAAAACAAAACGGAGACTTTTTCAATAAAGAATTTTTTGATGTATATTTTCTCATTCTCTTCTTCTTTTAATGTCACCTTTTCTGTGCATTTCTTTCGCCTATCCATTTTCATGTCATCTCCAGTAGATACACCTTATTGGACACCCATACAGCGATGTATGCCTGCATTAGAAGAAAAACATACCATCATTAAAGACAATCCTACTCAAAAATCTATTAATGAAACAGGAATATGTTTGAAAGAGGAAAGTAATGAATCAATAGGAAAAGATAAGACAGCTGTGAACAGCTTAAATAGTAGCAGTAGCGATTCACTTGCAGATCATACATCATCATCGCCTACTAAACCTGTGACGGTGTACGAATTAAACCAGCAGGTTGATACAACAAAACTAGAAACTCAAGTTATCATAATGGATCCGACCATTGAAGACGAACAAATGATGGATCCAATAAAGCTTGGACCCATACCCGAGCAAAATATAGAACAAGCCGCAGAGTTTGTCGTTGACTTTGATAAAGCAAATGGAAGAACACTCAGAGTAGAGCATGCATCATCCGGGCCGAGTATTACAGGCAGCAGCAGTAGTAGCAGTATGAATACCAGTAGCAGTAACAATAGTAGCAATAAAGACAGTTTAGATCCCTACAAGGCAGCGGCGTCTGATGTCGAACAAAAATGGCCTGTGCCAAAGACTATTGAAGAGATGTATACCTTATACGAACAAGAAAAGGCAAAAGGTGACTCGCGTTCTCAGCTGGCACTGTGTTTACATCTTTTGCAATGTGCTTCCAAGGTGAATCCAGAAAACAATATTGTTGTTCCTCATGATATGAACATTACTACCCCTAATCCTGGTACAGCACGTCATCAACTCCTAGATAGTATCATGGCAACGTTAAGACAACATTCTCAAAGCAATCCTAACCTGGGCCAGCTCATGGTGAAGGAGGCCAAGCAAATTTTAAAGCAATTAGCCACGTCTGGCCAAAGCGCAGGACAAGCAGGTGACGCCGAAGCGCAATTCTTACTCGGAAGTTGTTATGGCATGGGCGCTCTCGGATGGCCAATGAATCATGAACAAGCGTTTGCCTGGTATTTACAAGCATCAAAGCAGCGACATCCTGAAGCAACATACCGTGTTGGTGTTTGCTACGAATTAGGATTAGGTACCGCAAGAGATGGTGGACGTGCAGTTACATTTTACAAGAAGGCTGCTCACTTAGTGCATGTCCCCAGTATGTACAAACTAGGCGTAATCTATATGCGAGGCTATTGCGGGCAACCTGTGATTAAACGTGATGCAATCATATGGCTACAAAGAGCAGCAGCACAGAGCGATACGATGACAGTCGACAGCGAAATGGCACTTCCAGAAGCACTCCATGCGCTAGCCATCATACATCTCAACAAGGAGTGCCAGGATACAAGTATAATCCCTGATACTCAGTATGCTATCAAGTTACTGCATGATGCAGCTAATCTAGGCTATGCACCCAGTCAATTCAAATTAGGCGAATGTTATGAAACAGGATCACATGTTGTCGAAGACGAAGCACAGTCTATACATTGGTACACACTTGCTGCAAAACAGAATTATGCAGAGGCCGCATTAGCTTTATCCGGATGGTACTTGACAGGTTCGATCAAGTCTAAAGCTCTACCGCAGTCTGACTCGGCAGCCTATACATGGGCAAGAAAGGCTGCTGTACTTGCTAAAAGAGCCCAGTTGAAACCAGTGGCTGCAGATGCTTACTACAGTTTAGGTATTTTTTATGAGAATGGCATTGGTGTTAAGCAATCTACCGAGAAATCATTGAAATGGTTCCGAAGAGCGGCTCACTTGGGCCATCCAGAATGTTTAAAGATGATAAAGAATAGTAATGAAGATGTCAAAGAAGGCAATTAATAGAAAAATAAACGATACACTTTTCCCTTCAAAGTCTATTGCCCCCTTTTGATGACCTTGTTCTTTCTGCCGTACAATCCCTTTTCAACCGTAAATTTCTTTGGTTAAAAGGGAAATATTCCTCCGAGGAGGAAAACAGATTGTTGATCTTCTCCGACTTAAACTTTGGAATAATTTGAGGAATATATCTCGACAATGAAAGTTGTGGGCTCTTTTCTTTAAAAGCTTGTCATCAGTCTAGTTATCAATACCTATTTCTTTGATAATTTTTTTGTTATGCTTCATTCATTCTCAGAGTTATGTCGTGAGAAGTTAATGCCATGACAAAGAAAGATAAAAGTCGAATTCATATCTGTCGTACTTTGGCTTAAGACTTTTATTATCAGTCATTCTTTGGTGTTGTATTACTTTTTATATTCTTGAATTAATTGTGTTTTGAGTGATAACTCCAAGAATATATGTCAATATCAGAATATGTCAATATCAGAAGAAGTCATGAGTATGGTTTAGAAGAGTGTTCACGTGATGGCACACAAGTAATACAAAATTTGGTAATTTTTTATACTCTTTTTTCTCTTCTTCTACAATGTCAGATAATAAAAGAACAGTAGCTAATCCTAATTACTCGAGAAGATCAGAACCTCAAGATGGCTTCAAGTCACTTCAAGAGTTTTATCCGTTTTATCTCGGAGAACATTGTAACAAGATAAACAGAAGACTGCATTTTCTTGGTAACAAATAATATATTACTGCTTTTTAAATAAGCTCATCATCCAAAAAAAAAAAAGGGACAACGCTCAGTCTAGTATTTGCTTATTTGGCTGCTCGCCGTCGTAAGGCTAAATTTTTACTTGCGGGTATCTTGCAGGGTAAATATTGAAAGTAGACATTATAAATATAAACGTGATATTGACTGTTCTTATATAGGCTACTTTTTTGCTTGGATTGGACATTTTGTATTTGAAAAGAAGTAAGGATATAAAAAACAATGAAAAAGAAAAGGTCATTGATCCATTTTATAGCAAACCTGCTACCTTCCGTTATCCTCTTTGGTCATTTTTATGCGATTGGAAGATGTGGTTTGAAATAGTGACAAGAAAGCGTTTATTATAAAATAAAATTATTCTGCCTTCATATTTAATAAACACTCTAATACATCCTTTGCTGTCGGCCTTAGAGCCGCATCATTCTTTAAACCTGCTCTTAATAAAGGGTAAAATTGTTTATATCGTCTTGGTATATATTTGGTGACAACTGCAACATGTCCACTACTTTGTCTCTGCAAAACATTCTTTTCAAATAGTTCATCTGGTTTATTCACCGACGTCAATTCTGCAATTATCACCATGGCCATGAATACATCCGATGCTTTAGAAAAGATACCATATTCAATCATCTCTGGTGCTGCCACGCTATCTGTCCAGCTAACATCTTCAGTTAAATGTACATTTTCACGACCATTGAATTCGATGCACGATCTATAGAAGAAAATATTAGTTTTATACACTTTATGCTCTATTGAATACTTGCTCAAAATCTGAAAGATAAGCAGATCCTGCTGAGTCAATCTATAAAAACAAGCATTAGTTTAACGGATGATTGATACAATACTACGTTTACCAATAGATTTTCAAGTTTTAGATCGACAAAGCCTATACCAAGTTTATGCGCATCTACTAAAGCAGAAAACAAGCAGATGCCTATTTGAAGTATCTCATATGGATGTATGTTTGTTCCTAGTAAAGAGTAAGTTACATTCTCTTTTGTTACTTTATTTTTACCTCTATTATGAAAGTAAGTTCTACCATCTCTATTAGAGAAGTGTCGTTGGATGACAAAGATTGTAGGTAATGGCTTGAATTTGGAGCGAGTATATTTTTTCATGGTGTCCTTGCTCATTATTTCATTTGGATGACAGTATATTCAACCGATGTACCTGTTTGTAAATCGACAGGTATATAGCTTATTAGAAAATTCAAGTTCATGTTTGACTTTCTTTTCATTCTCCTTTAAACATTGTATTCGACCTGTTTTACATGCAATAATCAAGTTTTTATATTTTCCTTTATATACAAGACTCGTTTGTCCTTCTCCAAGCAAGCAATTATGCACTTGAATATCACTTTTATCAATCCTTCCGCGTTCACGAATCAACTTTTCAGGGCATTCGATAATATCTGCTTTATCATTCCTTTTTGTACGTGTCTGTTTTACGCTGCCATTACTTGTATCAGTTTCTTTCACGCTGTCATTATTTGTACTTGGCTCTTTTATGTTGTTCTTTGTTTCTGACAACTTTTTCTTTTCCTTTGTATACGTTCTTCTAAACAATCTAAGTTCTTTAAATGGCGTCTCTGTTCTGTATATAACCGGTTTCTTTGGACGTAAAACACGTCTCGGCTCCTCTTTTTCATGATCATCGTCTTCATTCATCTCTTGACTATCTGATAGTTGTGAAAGATCAGATAATGGACTAAAAAGGCTTCTTTCGCGTTCGTCTATGTCAGAGTCACAGTATTCGATCATTTTATCAGTTAATTTATTAATGTTGGATAAGCTGGGGAAAGAAATAGTTGAAAGTTCTTTAGGTACGCAGTGAGCACAATACTGACAAGTAAATGATGTCCTGAGAGATCTTTCCTTTCCTATTATCAAAGTACACTCCGTATCTGTATCGTCTACAGTTGATGCGGCTCGATAATGCTTCTTTTTGGGCCTCTCTGATATTAGAAAAAGGTATATCAATAAACAGTGAGAAAAATACTATAAACTTTACCTGAAAATGATTCATTTATATCACTTTCAAACGAGCCTTCCTTTCGTTTATTTGTTGTCCTTGACTCTGACGTTCCTGTTTTGCTCCTACTGTTCTTTGCAAATATGTGTATAATTTGCAGGTTGGGATCAGCTTTCTTCATCATCATGTACTTCCCTTCTGCATCAAGGGAGTAACAATTCACCTCGGATTCAAGCAAAGTTTGTGGTTCTATGCTCATTGGCTAATACAAAGAAGAAAATAATAATAAAAAAAGACAAAGGGGAAAGGGGAAAGAAATATAAAAATAACTTGAGTTTCAAAAACGCGATAAACTCTACAGCTGTTGCCCTACAGCAAACAAAGAATACTCGAAAGAGTCTTAACTGAACTGCTGCAAAGTGTATACAGGATTGATGTAATATCAAAATACGTTAAAATGTAAAGATGGCAACATGTGATTATTGCTAACCCTTCGTGAGTCTATTGTAGCTACACATATACACATATATATAAAATGAGATAAACTTTTGCCATATATACCTTGGGGTACTTTGGGCAGAGTCGTTCATTATTACTACCTATTAATGCACACGTGATAATGTGACACAACTTGTTACTGTAACAGAATCAACTGACATTGTATTTTTTAACTCTTTACAAATGAACAACAAAACCTTGCGTCCTCTTCATTTAAGAATACTCTTTCCTGAATTACTCACTTTACCCAAAACAGATCCTAGGCGACTAGGTCCACCGATAGATATTACGAGCTCAAAGACGGTTGATCTCGAATTATACACCTATCTTGCACTTCTTGTACGAGATTTCATTCACCCTTGGTACAGACTCATCACAAATGACCAGGATCTTACAACAGAGTTAATCAAAGTACTTGTCTTGATCATCCAAAAGTTAGAAAAGAGACTTTGTTATGAGGTATAATTATGGCTATTGTGCTGATCTCACTTTTAACACGCCCAAAAAAAAAAAGGTGGATTGGACTGAATTGATATTGATAGATTTACCAAAGCTTTTAACCATACATTACCATGACTACCGAGAGGCCAAAAGACGATTACATATGAACCATGGCAGCGGTTCAAGTTCATTGCCAGACCTCTTTCACGGTATGCAGCCTCACTTTGCACTACAGCCTATAGATCATCGCGAACAAGAGTATCTTCGACTATTGACTGAATCCATTTTGCGGATCTTGCTCGATCCAAAAGACTTTCAGAGCGATTGTTTACGACAATTGATAAGAGAAATTCTATCCAACTTGATCTTGTACAATGTGACTGAAAGCCTGACTGATCCATACACGATTCATATGATCATCTGCAAGGTAAATTATTGCTATAAACCCCGATTCACATTTACTAATGGCAGTAGCTACTGGCACCGTTCGAACCAGAGTTAGACAAGCTTGAATCATCAGGAAAATTTGCAGAAACTTATTTTAGTGCATTAACAAATGGACAGTCATTTCAAAAGCAAACAAAGACAATCAGCGATCAGCCAGAGGAAGATGATAGCTTGACAAAGCATATGCAGCAACTGCAAGAGAAGCGACGGCTACAAGGACAAGAGGTTACAGTAGATGCAGATGATCCTAAGGGGGACTCTACTGCTGCTGATCATCGCCAGTTTTCATTTGGTTATATCACCCTGCAAGTGTTTTTAGCTCCCATTCGGTCCTTTTGGCTCTATCTTGTCGCAACGGTTACACATTCCCAGGAAAGATACCAAAGGGTCACACAGCATAAAAAGCAGACACGGCAAGTACGGTTGATTGAGCCTGTGATGGAGTTTGTGCATATAGCATGTCAAATACAGGATAGACCTTTATTGCAATTTGCCTGGCAGATGCTTGCCATGTTCTTTTGGCCCCTCATTCGTGTCTTTGGTGGTGGATTGCTTATAGACAAGTAACAGTGCCAAGTATAAAAACACACGGTTGCTAAACATTTTATTTTTAATAGGTTCTTGGAGCAAGCAGTATTACATCTCTTGAGTGAGGATCATATCGTATTCTACTTAAGGCTTGGAACTGACCTGTTGTGGCCAAATGGTGAATTTATGCAAAAGGCAGACCCACCAACTCCACTTCAGCGAGAACAGATGCGAGTTCGGGCAGAGAGATTACTGACTGTAGCCATACCACGTAAATATTAAGTTTTTTTTCTTTATCATTTGAATTAACATCGTTCTTAGATCGTGTTAGTTCTATTTTATTTGAAACTAGTGACCTGAATCAACTTCAATCTCATATACATGATACCCTTGAACCACTTCAAAACAAAAAGATTAACAAGCATCTAATGTATCTGCTAGTGGACCTTGTGCTTTCAAAAGTGTTTCCTGAGCTTCTAGTTAGCGAACCAAGAAAATAAAATGATTCAACAAAGTATACCCATTTTGTTAGCAATAAAAACAACATAGTATTCATACAAAACTTTTCACAAATGGATCCTCTTTTGTCATGGCTGCTTAAAATGAAGTCTATAGTCTTGCTGTAACTCAAGCTCTGGAAAAGCGACCGCATGATTGATCAAGGTTATCTTAAAACTCTTTTTTTTTCTTTCTTTCTTTTCTCTCTTGGGCCCTTTCGAATACCAATAAAAAAGAGCATACTTAAAAAAAAATACCTCAGCCAAAAATTTAAAGCTGATTAACCTGATCATTTTGACTTCTTCAGTCATATTATAAAAGCCCTACAGTGCGAGCTTACCGAGATACAGCCCCATCTCGTTGATCAGAATGATCTCAAAGCTGGAAATTTCCTAGTTTTGCAGAAGCAGTTTACGCCCAGAGGTCAGTTCGTTGTCAAACACTAGCACACACCACAAGCAACAACGAAAATGTTCAACAACAATTCACATTCGACAAGACCAGTGCTATTATTTCCTCAGCCGGCAACTCGCCCACTGGCAGTATGTGGGCTGATTCTAAGGCCCACTCTTCAATTCCGTAAGAAGATGTATCAAATATGAAAATATAGAGCAAGAAGAGTCCATCTTTTGGTAGTGAAGATACAGAAGGATGCCTTTTTTTTGTATTCCCAATAGATCGTCAACACATTTAAGTGAAGACCTATTATACAAGAAATGCGCTTCGTCAATGAAAAGAGTTCGATAACATAATGCTCAAAGATGATACATGGATATGAATCTGAGCCTAGAAGAACGCTTGTAAATTTGTATAGCACAGACTGATATTAATATATGGCATCTCACCAATGAAAACTACCTATGCAAGGTTGTATAACGATAATTACCTCAAAGTGCTTCATAATGATGCATATGAAGAAATTGTTAAACTGTCGTTTCCTTGGATTACCAAAGACAAAGAAAAGTGCGTCAAGTGAATATATTTTATTAAGGTTAAAGAACAAAAAGTCAAAGTGTGAGAGTAACAAAATGAAGTTTTTATTTAAGAAATAGCTTGATTTTCGAAGGCAGAGAGTTTTGAATAAGTAGAGGCTTTTCTTTTGATAGCCAAGGTAAGAGAGCAAGTAGAAACTTTTGTTTTGGTAGCCAAATTTAGAGAGCAAATAGAGATTTCTTCTTTTTTTCTTTCCATAAATCCAGAAGGCCACATTAACGCTAGCTTTCAAACCCAAGATGGCTAGAACCATAAACTGCATGCCAGAAGACTACACGGTGTAAACCCTCCATGAATAAAAAATACTCAAGACTCAAATCTCAAAAATCAAAAGTCAATCTCAAAACCATACCACGGTAAATTCAACGAAAGAGATGCTTCAACGTACAAAGAGTGCACTTCTAAGTACCTAGGACGAAGCGTTTCGAAAGGGGTGATGACCGTGGAGACATCGGAATATTGAACCTTTGGAGCATCGCAATCATCGAGCTCAGTAATAAGGAGGGTTTACGGACCATTCATCAGCTGTAGAGGCAGAGCCATAACAATAGAAGCATCTCGGAGTGATCCAGCGTAGTGAAGCAGTGACCTATAGCAGAGCTTGATAGAGTTTGGCAGATAGTGGCAAAGTAGATTGATTGGTTATATTTCTTGTGACTTCAGGACTTGAATATGTAGTTACTCCAGAACAGTATTCATTACCAGACACTGATAGACATGAGCAAAATTCTTTAGGGGCTTTCCGACGTTGATAAACATGGACAGGCATTCACTAGCATTTTCAGGCACTGATGATTATTTGTATGTATTGATAAGCATGAGTAGGTTTCACTGGTCTTTCCAGAGCTTTGATAGACATTTGATAAACATTTGAGTATTTGATTGTTTGATTATTTGAGTGCATTGATAAGTAGTAGCAAAGCATTTTTTGAGCATTAGCGAGTAACAGAGATTCCTTTAAGGCTTCGCCCCGTGAGTGACCATTATGATAGAGTAAGATGCACCAGAAACCATGAAATAGAACCAGCAAAAGTGTATTTTTTAAACGATGGCATTAATTATATGTACTTTGAGATCACCCCAAATGATATTGTACTTTTTTCAACATAGGAAATAATAAAAGCAGAGGAGAATTTTTAAAAGAGATAAAGAGTGAAAAGAAGACAAGAATGATGGCTTCTTTTATAGTTTTCTGTTCACGTGAGTTATGCTATTTAGGCTGAGAATATATAGCTCATTTCTCCTTTTTCTCAATCTATCTTTTTCTAGTAATTCATAAATAAATAGCTCATTCTCTGTTTTTTCCATATTAGAGCAAATCCGAGCAGCTCTTTTTTTTTTTTAGTTTGGAATATGGAATATTCTCTTGTATCCCTTTTTTTGTTTTGTTTACTTTGCATAATTTTCACGCCTCCCTTTTTTTTTTTTGATGCCGCTTGTTTACATAAGGCTAACCTCACGCACTTACACACACGCGTAGTTTTTTTATTATGATTGCTTCACTTCTCTTATTTCCAATGCGTGTTTTTTTTATTTTTCTGGTCGTTTTCTTTAAGAATAAATAAAAAAAGTAAGACAAGAATTAAATGTACGAGGAAAAAGGCTGAGAGGGGACGACATCTTTAAAAATGCAGCTGATAGTAAACAAAAAAATAAGGCTCTTCTCAAAGAGTACTAGACTGCCGATTCTGTGGAACACACGCAGTTGATTCCATTACAGTTGTTATTTGTCAATCAAAGAAAGTTAATCATGATTGATCTATTTGGTTAACCACTCTGGCTTGTCTCATAAAAGTAATGATGAATTATTTTTTTTTGCCAAAAAGAACCAAAACCAAATCGCCCCAACCTTCACGTATCAAAACCTGTTTATCAAGCATGAAACATAGGTGATTGAGTTGCTGGCTTAGGAAAAAATAAGAGTTTGTAATGTTTTTATTTTTATTTTTAGTGCACATGAAAAAAGGTAAAAGGTAAAATGTTTATCCCCTATTTCTAGTTGCTATATCTTTATTCTTTTCCCTTCTGCTTATGAAATGTAGACCAACATTAGCGACGACTGTGATTGTGATAGATTTGATGACTATACGTTCATTTTTACAGTAAAGCAATGGATCTTCTAAGTCTGCATAAACTATTTCAAATGGCGCTCGAAACATGATGGGTTGCTAAGGTACACGACATACTTCAATTAATGACTTTATTGTCATGGATACTCGCATATCATGAATGAGAGGTATTTTCAAATATGTGATTTATTGGGCGACGAGAAAGGGGTTTTTATAACCATGAAAAAGAATATGAATACGTGAACGCATAAAATGGATAAAAATAAGCCTTATATGGAGATAAAACAGTAGAAGCATAACCCAATAAGCCTTAGAGGGGAATCAATGTGATGGCAGAGAAGTTTATCACTGTAATAACGAATATTGCCATTTAGTTGATCAAGTGTAGCCTTTACTTTGTCGACCCTTATAGTTAATATTGTCAAGAATACTTTACTTGTAAATACAACAGTGCATGTATTTGATATTCGTTTTATTCATAATCATGTTTAATGTTGGTTCGTTTCGTTAAAGGAAAAAGGGGTTCTAATCGAAAGCTCAATCTCACTTGTTTTATTTTATTTTTTTTAGTTGAAAGCCTTTTTCTGATTTGGTCGACGAAATAAACTCGAACCCAATTGCCGCCTTGGGTCAAGTCTTTTTTTTTTTCCTTTTTTCGATTTGATTGGACTATTCTATGGATACCTATGGTTAACCGTACTAGGAGTTGATGCCAGCCAAGGCATCACAGCGGTATACCCAGCTATCCACATGTGAGCGACCATCATCCTACACACACGGCTGCTTGGGTCTTTACCTTTTCTATTGATGATCCAGTTTCCTTTTACCTGAACAAGCTTTCACATAAGTTCTCCCCAAAGCCATCGACAATGGTCGTCAGATGAAAGCGATGGTGAATAGTCTTTATAGGGGCCGTGAATATCTTCACCACACACTACACAGTCAATCACCTCTTCAAGTCATTGATAATGACCTTACCAGATTCTCGTGACTCCTTGCAGAGGCTGGGTCGAATTTTTTTTTTAAAATTTATTTTGTTGAACGACTAGTCTTCTCTTGTGTGTTTCTGACATGAAGAATGAGCCGGAAATCAATTTTGATATATTTCATATCAGGGCTCTTTATTCTTGCTATATTTGCTCAACTTAATTCTTATCTTGCTCTAATCACTTTACCTAATTCACATTCCAAAGATGACACAGCGATTCAGGAACGATATCAGAGAGAATATAAGGCTTTGATAGTCTATATCATATGCCTCTCAGCCACATGCTTCATTCTGCTGCTACAATCTTGGCTTAAACAATCACACTACAATCAACAAAAGTTACTAGGACACCCATTGACAGCAAAGACAGCAACAAACAGGTACAACAGTTGGCTACAGTACGAATGGCGATGGTTCAGCACGACTCTGTCCTTGTCATTTATCATCAAACTAGGAACACTCATTGGTGTAAATATTATGCTTATACTCATTTCAAATGATGAGGATAAACACTTGATGCTACAAGGAAGAGCTAATAGAGCAGCCCAACTAGCTGTTGCAAACACTGCTGCTGCAGTTGCTCTTTCAGCCAAACTATCCATCATTCAGCGATATTTTTATGGAGTTGAGAAGACGCTGAGTTGGCATCCATGGTTTGGCAGAATAGCCCTTGTTGAAACACTGTATCATGGCGCCTATCAGTTTCAATTGAATTATGCTCGACAGAACTATGATCTTATTCTCGCCTTGACTACCAATATTCGATACATGACAGGAGCCAGTTTGATATCAGCCATGATCATTTTGGTGATTGGATCTCATCCGCTCGTAAGGCATATTTCCTATCGACTCTTCCGATTGACTCATATCGGCTCATTCCTTGTGCTCATCCTATTGGGCTGTCTTCATCACTGGGTGTTTTATGTGTTTTATGCAGCAGTACTCGGATTTTGGATCATAGATCAAGTTGACCGATCCTTTGAAATCGAAGTGTGCAGCCTCCAAGCGATGCCTGGAAATATAGTAAAGATTCAGGCCACCGTACCTTATACTATCTTAAGCCCGATACCTGGTCAATTTGCATTTCTATCATTCTCATCATCATGGATTCATGCTTGGATACACTCACATCCTTTTTCTATTTGCAGAATAGATACCGGTAAAGCAAATATGTTTATCAACGTTCTGTTATTGACTAATATGTTCTTTTTATATAGTCAATGGAAAAGATCAGGATGATGACAGTGAGGGGATAGTACATCAAGCATTGACATTTTATATCAAAGTGTCTGGCAAACGAACTTTATCACTCTACCAAAAGGCAGTAGATCAAGAAAAAGTAAAGATGAGGATCAGTCGGCCCCTAGGAAGGCCCTACTTGACGATTGCCGGATCTGAATTTGGCGATTTCAAGACGATTGTCTTGGTTGCAGATGGAGTAGGACTAGCACCATGGATCTCAGTACTACAATATGTGAGTGAAAAAAAAGAGACGATAAAGACACGATCGGTGTACTTGATTTGGAGTATACATGCAATAGGTAGAATCCATCGTGGGTATAAAGAATACAGACTGATTTTTTATAGACACATTTTATGCATTTGAAGAGGAGCTCGTTCAGTTTGCAAACTCTCTGCAGCTATTGGACTTGACGATTGAAATATTTATTACAGGCGATATAGAAGACAATGCAGAATCTGTTAGACAATTTACGTTTAGATACAGTCGACCCAACTATTCACTTTTATTTGATGAGATCTATGAGAATGATGTAGCTGTTGGAGTGTGTGCACATGAAGACAAGACTGTACAGATACATAATTTAGCACTTGCTCGTTCTTGGGCTATACATACAGAAAGATTTCAGTTGTAAATAGATATTTATTTAAATCTCGTGCTCTGCTAATAACATGTTGGGAATTCCGTCTTTAATCTTGTATACATGGTTGCAGTTGGGACAAATCATTTGTCCCTGTTGAACATGTGTCTATTTTTTTTGCAATGTTTGTCAACGATGCGCTTCACTTAGATATTGTAATGTATACCTCTAAAATGACAGCATGTAAAACCTTTAAAAACTCTTCATTCTCTTCAGCATTTTCAGGAATTTCCTCGGGAAGTGTATTGATACCAAGCTATATAATGATTAATAAAGAGAGAGAGTGCAATATGTATTTGTGTGTGTACCTGAATGGCTGTGTTTCTGAGAGCATCCCAGTCAAGTTTATTTAATACATTGGCCATAAAATCAGGGTTGAATTCTGCTTCAATCAGCTCCACTTGAGCATCCTCAAAGCGTAATGGAAAGTTATTCGTGTTGCAGTTTTTGACGTGGCATTGTAACATGTTGTGTGTGATGAGTCTCATTGTGAATATCTATGATTGAAAAAAATAAAAATAAAAAAAGAGAGTGGGCTATTTAAGTGAATAAGCCACATATGAAGAAAATGATAGCTCTTCTCCGTTTCTCTTTCAGTATAAAGCATAACAATTCATAGTATACGATTGTTCTTGTATATATCACATCAGCTACTATCCCCTCTCTCTCTCTCTTGTTTTTCTCTTTGAATGATAAAATAAAGATAATTACAGTGCTTCAGTGACTGAACAGGCCACTGCATAGTTTCTTAAAACGACTCTCGATGAAATGGACAAACATCCAGATATAAAAGATCACTATATAAATATGAATAATGTACCCATTCACGTTCATGAAAGAATAAGGAAGTATATTGAGCATTGAGGATATTCATGTTTATATCTTCTATTTCTAAAAACATGAAATTAATTTGGCTTGTTATGCAATCCTCTCTTCTTATTGGATAAATGCAAACCAGCCAATCATATAAATGGATTACTCAATCCGAATCGAACCCATATGATCAACTGTCAAACCATGTCTACACGCCATAAAACAGACGAAAGAATTGATCCGTATTCCCTTCAGTTTATAGTGTTACAAACTTGAGGAATGTCCTCTCTAGACAACAACAACACGAATGATTCCAAATTGTAAATAAACGCAATGCTCTCAGATTGTGTCCGAGTCTGACTTTTTATTATTTATTGTAGAAAAAGCAGTAAAAAACGAGCCTTGAGAAGAGAGCTGGCAACCCTTCAAGAAGACAATAACAAAAAAGGTATTCATGCGCAATTATTGCATTTGAAATATAATGTTGATATATTCTAGCTCGACGTGATTCGCCCAAATGTCCCATTTGTGAACATCGCATTGAACCTGCTTATTGGAATGAACATTATCAATATGAACTCAATAGACTAGCAGAACCTAATTCCGAAGTATACGGTGATAAAAGGTATGCAAAACAAGACAGTAATGCGTTAAATACTCAGTCTATAATATAGTAAAGGAAAGCGTGGAGCAGCTGTAGTTGCACGCAAACAGATGGAAAGAACAAGTGGTAAAAAACGAGCAGGATCTGTCTATGAAGAAACATTGGAAAGAATACAAAAGAACAGACAAAAACGGACAGACATATTAAAACACTTGGATAACAAACAACAACGTCTAAGCGATTCTGAGATTGCATTACAACTATCATTAGAAGAGGAGCAAGAGATTCAAACTTGCTTTATCTGTAATCAGCAAATATTTGGTGACCTTGAAGCCATCAATTTACATATTGATAATTGTCTATCAAATGCACAAGAACCGCCATCATCCTCATTAACAACAGCAGCAGCAGTGACAACAACAGCAACAACAACAACAGCAGATAACCCAGAATCCTCAGATGCGTGGGTTGAATATGAATGGGCCGGACAGAGACGCGTGAGAGCCTCAGCCATGATGGAAGGAGGATATAGTGGCGCAGGGTTCGCTACAGCAAGCAAAAGAGAGGTAGAAGACGAAGATGATGAAGACTTGGATGTCGAAGATGATGATGCTGCACAATATGGCGAACATCAATATACAGAAAGAGATATTTTAGTGAATATGGAGGACGATAATGAAGATGCTCATGCTTTACGAGAAATGGTATCTGGAGGCACATCACATAATTCACCTTCATCAATAAGGTAAATATACGGAAACATAAAGCTGCATGTTACTCATAAATGTATAGACAAGAATTTGAAGAAACAGTATCTGAAGCAGGATGGGAGCAACACTTGAGTACAGCTGGAAGTTTTACAGAAGGTGGTCATTCAAAGCTCGTTATCGAATCACTTAAAACACATATCCGTCAATTAGAAGCAGCCTCACGTTCATCACCGCATTGTCTTATCTGTCTCGAACCTTACAAGACGCCTCTAACATCAATTGTCTGTTGGCATGTTCATTGCGAACGATGCTGGTTGCAAACTCTTGGAAGCAAAAAACTTTGTCCCCAATGTCAAAAGATTACAACAGCTGCCGACTTACGACGTATTTATATTTGATCCTGTATAATATGATTCATCTCCCTCTTCTATTCTATTCGAGTTCATCCGATATTTCTTTGTACAAAGTTTTTTTTTTAAAAAAAAAAAGAAAGAGCAATATTATAATAAATAATCCATTGTATACAATCAAGCATGAATCAGTCCAGAATGGCTTACATTCTAATAGAAAGATGAATAAATGATTGTAGTGGTTGTTCATGAGGTTGAGTAGATAGACGTAGAATAGAACGAAATGCACGAGATTTATTATGTAGATGCTTACACTTTATTCAGAATGATGCGCACATTGATAGAAAATGATATATCAGACAACAAATGATAATAAAAGAGAATCCACAAGAAACAGAAGAAATGATTAATAAATCAGTTACGTGTTGTTTACAAAGTGCTAACCACATATACAAGTCTCAAAAATATCAAATTCATTTTATGCATTATTGCACGTTGGCAAGTTGGGAGAAAAGATTGATAATCAATAAAAATGTAATTGCTAATCGATGTGTGAATAATTTCTAGAGATGCTTATAAGATTAATCGGGCTTTCCTCGATCTACCATCTAAGAAGAGAGGGCCATTTATCCGCTAAAAAGGGAAATGCATATCAAATGATAAAAAAAGCGCATCATTGTTAAACCCCCAAAATACAAACGCATATAATCAAATACACTCTTGTTAAATATCTAAATCCTGTTGAGCTACTCTCTTTATGGCAATGTCGGTCTCTCTCTCTCGTATAGATCAAAGGCTGTCCAATTAAAAGGTCAGAATCAATATTTTTCTTTTTACAAAAAAGGAATTTAGTAAAATCAGCAGTTATGCCACTCTCCGTTCTACAAAATATATTACAAAATATACGTAAAATGTATTAGAGATCACTAAAAAAAAGCATGTATAAATATATTAAACTACTACAATGCATGAAAATACCAATCATAGCAGTGCTGCTGTATTCTTTTACTGTTTATTACAAATCCAGTTTAATAAGGCACACATTTCACAGCGAAAGAACATTGTCTCACGTGCAAATATTAAAGAACATGAGAATATTGTTATATTTTATTTGTCCAATTAGCCCCGAGGCAGCCTTCAATTTTTTAAAAATATGACATGGTCCTTTGTTACCTTTTTCATTGAACCCTTTTCCCATTAGCCAATGAATAAAAGGAACGAGTGCAGCAGCTGAACATGTTTAGGCATGTGCGACGTCTTTTATCTTTCCGAATTCTAATTTTTTTTCTAGTAACTTCTAGCTTTTTACAGAAACAGACTAATTCCGAAACAAACAACTAAATAAAAAGATAAGCATCTCTTTCTCTCTCTCTTGAAAAAAAGAAAAAAGAAAAAAGAGATTGAAAGAGAGGGGAAAAGACAGAGCACAAATAAGGAAACATGCGTGATACCAAGTTTGTTTTTTATTGTTATTGAAGTGCCTTTTATTTAAAACATAAAAAGGTTAAATTTTCTTTAAAAAGTAATTTCACTTTTAGACACCCAACTCCGTCCCCCCCTGGCTCCTTTGAATCATTGAATCTCTTTTGGGCTCTTTTTTGCCACTCACCTGTTTGCCTTGTTGTCATTGATCCATGCTTCCCTTTTTCTAACATATGATTTAATCGCCGATTTAATTATTAAGAGCAACTTTGTGTGAAACTATAAAAGAATAAAAGAGCCCTTCTTGATTGATTTATCTTTTTCCCTTAATTCTCTTCTTGCTCTCACGCTCTCACGCATATACTAAAAAGGAAAAGCATAAAAAGGGGAAATAATGTCTGACATAGTTAAACCAAGCAGTGACCAAGAAGCTGTCCTTAATGAATCAATAGAAGCTACCCCTTATGGTACAGTTGAATCAACTGGAGTCAAAAAGAAGACGACATCTTACTTTAACGTACTCTTCAGTGGATTTGCTCTGCTTTCTGATGGGTATCAGTCAGGTGTGATCAGTTTTGTTAATTTATTCCTGGGTAAAATCTATGGATCGGATGTGTTTAATGCTACTATGAAGTCTCGTCTGTCTTATTCTATGTTTGTCGGCGCTATTGTTGGTCAACTAGGTAGGTTTGGAATTAATCAGTCTTTACATGTCTAATATTGATGTGTTCTATAGGTTTTGGCCTTGTCATTGATCGTATTGGTCGAAAGATCGGTTTGGTTTTGACCACATTCCTTGTCATCTTAGGTGCTGCTTTATCTGCTGCTTCAAGCGGAAAGGATCCTACTGGTTTACTCTGGATGATGATCATCTCTCGTGGTGTCCTTGGTGTGGGTGTAGGTGGTGAATACCCCTGTAGTTCAGTCTCTGCTGGTGAGTCTGCTGATGAAGTGGCGCCCGGAAGACGTGGTGCTCTCTTTGTGCTGGTAAGGGATATAGATATTATGTGACATCTCAACTTACCTTGTTCCAGGTAACAAACTTTGTGATTGATGCGGGTTATGTTGTCTCAGCTATCGTACCTGTCATTTTGCTTGCAATCTTTAAGGATAACCTTGAGCCAGTTTGGCGTCTCTGTCTTGGTCTAGGTATTGTTCCTCCACTCTCTGTCTTGTACTTCCGTCTCAAAATGGCCGATTCAGAACGATATCGTACAAGTGCTCTGCAAAAGCGCGTACCCTATTGGTTGATCATCAAGAGATACTGGTTCCGTATCTTGGTTGCATCCGGTTTATGGTTCATTTATGACTTTATCTCTTATCCCAGTGGTGTATTCTCATCCGTCATTATTGACAGCGTTGCCAGTGGAGAATCAACCATTGAAGTCGTTGCCTGGAACATTCTCCTTTTCTCATTCTATCTTCCTGGTGCTCTTCTAGGTGCCTTGTCTGTTGACAAGATTGGCCGAAGAAAGACATTGACACTCGGTTTATTGCTTCAAGGCGTTGTTGGTTTGATCCTTGGAGGTGTCTACAATCTGATCTCAAAAAACTGTCTACCCATGTTTATCGTAAGTATCAACGACTGGTATAAGGGGCATATTGTTAATATCTTGATACAGATTATGTACGGTATCTACTTAGCTTTAGGCGAATATGGTCCAGGTGATACAATGGGATTAAATGCTACTGAAATGTTCCCTACAGCTGTTCGTGGTACATGTTACGGAATTGCTGCTGCTATTGGTAAAGTAGGTGCTACCGTGGGTACACTTGCCTTTGTGCCAATGCAAGAAGCCATGGGAGGATATAGAGGACCTTTCTTGGTGGGTAGTGGTATTGCTATTGTAGCAGGTATCCTTGCCTGGTTTGTAGTACCTGATATTGGACCCGATGGTTTAGTTCAGGAGGATGCTGACTTCCGTGAGTACTTGATGCAGCATGGTTATGATGTATCCCAGTTGGGCGTGCGCAAACCTGTAGACGTCATTCACGATAACTCCAAAACTTCTACTTCTATTCATTCCAACGAAAACAGATTGTAATCTCATATTCATTTTTTTATTATTTTATATATGTGCTGCTCTCTTTCCCCCTATAGACACCATATATCATACCTTCATGTACACACTTATATAATAAAGAATTATTTTGCATTATTTTTTTTCAAGTAGCGCTTTTTTTT